CCTTTCTTGTACATTGCCCTCCCTGTCACCCAAGTCCACCCTCTAGTTAGTGAATTACTCTCCCCTCCCTTCCACCTCTGAAAACCATCAAAGAATGTTTCTTTTAGCACAAAAAAACTTTTTTTAAGTATTTGCACTAATGCTCTCATACACTATTTACCTTTTGTGATTAACTAATTTCACTCAGCATAATGACCTCCAGGTTCATCCATGTTATTAGCTGTTTCAGAGATTCATCATTATTCTTCAGTGTTGCACAGTATTTGATTATGTATGTTGGCGCCATAGTTTGGTTATCCATTTTTCCATTGATGGGCATTTACAGTATCTCCATCTTTTTGCTGTTGTGAATATGATCTTAACTACTTGCTCCACCCAGGGAACCTAAATGCTGTTGTTGTGAAGTGCCATCACGTCGGATCTGACTCAAGCGACCCTGTATAAGATTTCCAAGGAGTAGCTTGTGAGTTTGAACCACCAAATTTGCAGTTCAAACCAACCTAGCTGACTCGAACATTATCCTGCAGCACCACACCAGGAACTGAAATGGGGTGGTAGGGGTGTAACTAACCTAAACCCACTCCCACAAAGCTGATAGATACTGACTCACAGAAATGCTAAAAAGGGTTTTGGAGGCTATAAATCTTTATGGTAGCAGACAGCTTAACCTTTCTCCTTTGGGGCAGCTGGTAGGTTAGTGGTAGGTTAGATGATCTTGCAATAGAAGTCCCGTGTTTATTCTATAAACACCACCAGGGCTCCTAAATAGAGAAAGGAGGATGATTTACAACTACAGATTACTTCAAATTAAGGAGTCCTGGTACCACAGTGGGTTATGAGTTGGATTGCCAACCGCAAGGTCAGCAGTTAGAATCCACCAGTTGCTCCTCGGGAGAAAGATGAGGCTTTCTGCTGCCATGAAGATTTATAGCCTCAGAGACCCTATACAGGGTTCTATGAGTCTGAACCGACTCCGCAACACTCAGCTACCATTGCCACTTCCAATTAGCTTCAGTCAGAATTCTTCCTCAAAGTGAAAACCTTTCCCTGGAATTGACTTCCCTGCAGGATGGAACCTACAACCTAAGGTCAACTGACATTCTTCAAGCAGCCTTTTCATTCACCTTCCCTCAGACTGCTGTTTTGTTTCAATGTCTCTGAACCCTTAGAAAAATTTGTTTAAAAGAAGTGGGTACCTAACTCAACTGGCCTATTTCCTTCATTTTCCACCCAAGTGGTAAACAATGGGCTTCATTCAGTGTGGACAGACTGTGAGCTGGGAACTTACTCGTTGTCACAGGGCAGATTGTCCATCTCCTGAGTTCTGTGTTTCTGTTACAACGGGGCCTTCTCCTGGTCCTCTAAGCCTGTAGCTCACTGTCCCCTTCCCTCTTAGTTCACAGCCAAATGCCACCCTAAATGTGCCTGTCAGTGTGTTTGAGAGCAGTCTTTCAAAAGATTCTAGGAACAATACAAGTTAGCGCAGGCCGCAGTCATGTGATTTTCCATTAGGACTACCAGGTTTTGTTTACACTCATTTTAAAGTCTGTGTTCTGACTTTCCTCTCAAGTTATTTCCTTCCTTTTATTCTTTAACATAAATCTGAACATCCCCAGCCTGTTTACAACACTTTGGAGATTTCCTACTGAACTAAAATGAACTCCTTGCTCCGAAATCTGGCACTCTTTACCCCTTGACATTCATCTCACACCCTGTTGTCTTCAGCATCAATTGTCTACTTTAATTTCCTCACAACTATCCAATTGTATCCTAAGTTGGACTTTTGTACACACTGTTTCCTCTGACTGGACCACTTCCTCTTCCACTTAGCTTAGTCCTGTGATCCTGAAATGCTTTGGGTTCAGTACCTCTGTACACTCTGAAAACTTAAGGACCCCGGATAGCTTTTCCTTCTGTGGACTTTATCTATCTGAATTTACCTACTCTATATTAAAACTGACATTATTTTTTTAATGAAGCAAATTTCAATATAATATTTCAATATAAATAACTTATTTTATGAAAATTTACTACCTTTTTTTAAACAAAAATAATTTAGAGAGAAGAGTGGCATTCTGCATTTTTGTAAATGTCTTTAATATCTGACTTAGTAGAAACCAGATGAACTCTCTTGTGCACTCTCCATTCAATCTGATGTGATATGAAATGTCATGTTTTCTCTAGAAAACTGTGCTGGAGACTTGTGAGAGAGCAAGAGTGAAAAAGGCCAATAACTTCTTAGTGTTTTTATGAAAACAGTTTTGACCTTCAAAACTCCCTAAAAAGGGTGTTAGGCAAGAATCTCAGGGATCTCCAAACCATAGTGAGAACTCCTGTTCACTCTATCTATAGTTGTTGTTAAGTGCTGTTGAGTTAGTTCCAACTCACAGCTACCCTGATAGGGTTTCTGGGGAGCGACTGGTGGATGTGAACCGCTGACCTTATGGTTCAAACTGACATTACCGTCAAGTGCTTATCCTATGACCCCCAACATGTACTCCTCACTCTATCTCCTCGTAAAGTTCAAATTTACTTCACTTATTGAAGTCTTAGTGTGGTGCTGTGGGTTAATTGGCTGGACTGAAAAGTTGGCTTGAACTGCAAGGTCGGTGTTTCAAGCTCATCAGTCACTCCTTGGAAACCCTATACAGGGTAATTATGAGTTGGAACCGACTCAACGGCACTTAACAACAACAACAACAATCTCAAAAATAGATTGAACCCTTTTGTTATGGCTCCTATGAGTATAACTTCCTTGCTTAAACACTCTGCTTAAACATTCATCAAATCTATAATTTCATTAATGATCCCCATGACGACTGGGATTCTATCTGCCTCATTCACCAGTGCATCTCTAGTGCTCAACACACATAGAAGGGACTTTGAAAAATCACTGTAGGCAGGAGACAAGCAGGAAAGAGGGGAAGGAATCTGACCCACAGAGACCAATTCCTGTCAACTGCATTCCTCTGTCCTTCATTAGGATATGTGCAGAGACATAACATTACTAAAGCAGGCTGCTGCAGGCCTGGCTTCTACTTCCACCTTAAGAGAATGGGAGAAAAATGTAGTCCTAAATCCAGGGTGATGGAATGGAAGTTAAACAATATAGACTAATAGTGTGAGTACACACACACTGGCATTGTTTATTTTTTGCCACTGTAGGATAGGCACGAGGCTGCAATCTGCAAGATCAGATGCTCAAAACTACCAGCAGTTCTGCAGTAGAAAGATGAGGTTGTCTGCTCTCATAAAGATTTACTGTCTTCGAACGCTTTGCCTTCTAGGCAAACCCAACCCCACCCACCACCTTCGAGCCAATTCCTACTCATCGAACTGCTTTCTTAGGGTTTCTAGGCCATTAATCCTTATGGAAGCAGACATGAGATTTCTCCCGCATCATCTTTCTCCAGCAGCACAGCTGGTGGGTTCAAAGCACTGATCTTTCAGTTATCTATCAGCTCAACATTAACCTACGGTAACACCAGGCCTCTGCTTGTAGGCACTAGAGGATTTATCAATGAAAATCAGAGAAAAAGCTGTCCTCAGGGAGCTTTGGCTCAAGTGGTTTTGCTTGTCTACTGAGTCCTAGTGTAGCACTAAAAGATAATGCACTAGATCGCAAGGTCAGTTTGAACCACAGGCGCACGGTTCAAACCAATCAGCAGCTTCTTGAAAACCATAGACAGGGTTGCTATGAGTCGGGACCGACTTGATGGCATTTAACAAAAACAACAAGCGGAAAGGTTGGTGGTTTAAAAACACTCAATGGTGTCATGCGAGGAAGGTCTGGTCATCGAATTCCATAAAAACAATGTTGTTGTTGTTAAGTGCCGTGGTGTCGGTTCCGACTCATAGCGACCCTGCACAGGGTTTCCGAGGCTGTAAATCTTTATGGGAGCAGAAAGCCTTATCTTTCTCTCCCGGAAAAACTGGTAGTTTCAAACTGCTGACCTTGAGGTTCTCAGCCCAATTCATAACCACTACACTACCAGAGATCCTTAAAAAATGTTTAGCATCCGTAAAATATGGGAAATCCTTCAGAATTTCCTGGTAAGAACTAAATGAAAGATTATTTGACAAATACCTAGTAGAGATTCTAGCACGTAGTAGGTGCTTAGTATATGGAAATCTTGCTGGTGACAAACCATATTCCAAAATTGACTTCACAGGGATCAGAAAGGCTGCAGCGCCACTCTTTCTATATAAAAAAAGACCACCTCTGGCCCCCTGTATACTTCAGAAAGCACCTGGACATATAATATGTTCACATTGTTGCATAATATTAGAGAACAAAATTGTACCAGGCACCACTACACAATGGGGCTGTTTCTAGACAGGTGATTAGGAGACTGACTTTTCCAATTATGCTAAGAGCTATAGGATCATTCAAACACAACTATTTGTAGATTTACCTTTTATACACATGAATTTACAGTGCATCATAGGATTACTGAAGCTTCCACCCTCCCTCTGATTGAGTTGAGCTGGACGTTTCTGAGACACAGTGCTTCTGCCCTCAGAATGGGATTGGCAGGGTAGAGAGAAGTAAGCTTGGATTTTTGATTTTCTTCTCTTGCCAAGTACTTTTGGTGAGTTCTCTGCAGTTAGCACCACATTAGAAAAGCAATAGGTTGAGAGAACAGTCATAGTAGCTGATTTTGCTCTATTACCAATCTGGCAAAAAAAATAAAAAAAGCAGCATTTAGAGTTAGAGAGTATTCTAAAGCGAAATGAAATAAAGTTTGGGAATTATTTGTGTGGATTTAACTCCCTCAGGCTACCTCCATTGTTCCTAGCCGGAAATTTTCATGAGTCAACTGTCCAGAATCATAGTTATTATTCAAGAGATGTGGGTTGAAAGGAAGTTTGATGCCGTGGCAAATCCCACTGACTTAGTTAGACTGTACTTCAAGTTAAAGAGCAGGCTGAAGTTTGGAGTGATTGGATTCAATTGAATATGTGTTCAGAGTGTGTCAGGAAGACCCGAAAGATCCCACATGGAAGTAAAATTCATTATTGGCAAGTACAGTGACAGGAGACCCCAGAGAACTGAGCCGCAAAGAATTTGCTGAGCTTTGTGGCTAAACTCCCTGGCCTAGTTTGATCTTGAAGTCATTGTTTTGGATCATCCTTTCAAATCTGTTCCTACACTTAAGAGCCACTCAGCATGTGACTGAGTTCTCCCTCCTGAGTTCATTTGCATCGACCTGTCAGAGCTGACTTTCAGTGGATATACATATCACATCAAACCATCCAACAGATGTCCCTTTCAAATAACTTGGAGCAGAACCAACTATATGGAGAAGTCATAAATGAGGAAACATACAACCAAGGATTTTCAATGGCTTGGCATAGCTCCTTTCACAGAAGACTTGGTCTCTTGATTGGATCCTGAAATATGTGAGCATAAGCAAATTGACTCTCACCCCATTTGTGGCTCACTCTGCCTGACAGGAGACTCAAAGGGACACTCTGGAATCTAAAATCTTCATTATCTCAATGACGTGTCCTACAATTCCATATCTCCAAGAAAGAATACATTTAAGAACAGGGATAAAAGAAATTAGGAGAGAGAAACACAACATCTAGCACCATATCTATCAGTGACTTGCTCATTGTATTAAAGTGGGGGTGGATCAGAATTGTTTCTGACTTCTGTTTCTGATTTCTGACCTCTTTGGAATCAAGGAATTTCACTGAAGGAAAACTAATATCTGATCGGGCTCCAAGTGTTAAATAAGACCTGTGTTCATTCCAGGCCACCAACAGGTTCAGGGTCACTGAGTCACTGACTATGAATTGGAATGTTCAATGAGTTTTGCAGGTGACTGGGTGAACAAAATAAAACTCAGGAGATGCATAAAGTTGGCAACAAGGAATTTCTACTTGAATTATTTAACATGCTTCTTTCTAAATATTCTGAATATAAAAGAACTGCAGATTTTTCAATAGGGTGAAATAAAGTTACCAAGTGTAGTTTTTCTGACCAACACTATAATATAAAAATCAAGATATGGAGATGAACTTAGCATGCAGACTACTATCATATTTACAAGACATTTTATGGCACCATGTAAAATTCACAAGCTATTGGCAGGATATTTTTTGTGTTGTTGTTTTTATCATCCATATGAGCAAGCATATGGACAATAAGAAATCGAATCATGAATTCGCCTTTAAAACCCAAATCACTAATTCAATTCCTGATTCAACTAGATCCTAGCAATAGTCCAGAGTAAATGTCCTAAGCATTGAGAGTACAAAAAACAATGAGGAACTATCCCTGCCTTCAAGGACTCTTCAACATCATGTAGTTGTTACGGTGTATTGTCAAGTCAACTCAGAGTCATAGCAACTCCATGTAGCAGAGTAGAACTGCCCCATAGGGTATTCTGGACTGTCATCTTTATAGAAACAGATTGTCTGGTCTGTCTTCCGTCAGAGAGACTAAGTGGACTCTAATGGTCAACCATTTGGATAGTAGCCAAGCACTTAACTGGTGTACCACCAGGGTTCCTTCAACATATGAATATTTTTATTATATGTATACATGTTGGAACTAGTGAAACAAAGAGTTCAGATAAGACTTTACAGTCTTATTGGTGTTACAAATATTGGCTGAGCTTAGTTGTAAAGGATGTGAGAGTAAGAACTTATATTTTTAATAACACAGAATGCAGGATTCATTTAAACCGTAAAGGCTTCTTCACATGTGCTGCTTCTAATGGGCATATTTAGAACTTGTCATATTCTGAATTCACTCAGTCTCTAGCTAAAACCACCAGTTGAATACAAAACTCAGAAATGTGTTTCTTAATTCATGTCTTGAATATGAATATTGAGTAGGAAAAGTCTGAAGACAGCATCTTGAGACAGAGCCCCAGGAAACTTTTAAAGTTTTCATTAATCTCTCAAAAACTCTCTGCTGTTGTAATCTGGGTTACTTTACTATTTCTTGCACAATTGCAATACTTTAACTCCTCTTCAATTAAGGGGAGGAATTTAAGAATTATTGAAACTGTGATTCCCATGTTCTTATAATTGGGAGTGGGAATTCAGTCATCAGTGTTTGCTTGTTTCTTTACATTGGCACAAACCTCAGACTGAGTCCACACATTGGAACTCACAAATGATTCATGTAGCATATATTCATTAAGATAAGGAACACAAGGATAAGGAGAGAGAAGAGAGAGATTCTATAGTATCTCACTACGCCCAAATCTTTGTGCTAAGTATTTTATGTACATTGAGTCATTCAAACTTCATAGGCACATTTCAACATAGACACTTATCAATGTCTCCATTTAGTTGAAAAAAAAATTAGAGAGATTAAATAATATGCCTGAACTTGGAACTGAGGCAATATTTGAGACAAATTATTTTTTCCTGTGTGCTAACCAAAGAGCTGAACAGAAAATTTCAAAGCTCAGCTCGAGAAGATAAAGCCAAATATTATAACAAAATGTGCAAAGATCTGGAGTCAGAAAACCAAAAAGGAAGAACACACTCAGCACTTCTCAAGCTGGGGGAACTGAAGAAAAAATGCAAGCCTTGACTTTCATTACTGAAAGATTCTCTGGGCAAATCATTGAATGATGCAGAAAACATCAAGAGACGACGGAAGGAATATACAGTCACTGTACCCAAAGGAAATGGTTAATGTTCACTCATTTCAAGAGGTAGCATATGATCAAGAGCCAAGGATACTGAAGGAGGACGTCTAAGGTGCATTGAAGGTATTGGCAAAGAACAAGGCACCAGGAATTGATGAAATACAAATTGAAATCTTTAAAGAAAGTGAAGTGGCACAGGAGGCACTCACTCATCTCTGCCAAGAAATATGGAAGACAACTATCTGGTCGACTGATTGGAAGAGATCCATATTTGTGCTCATTCCAAAGAGAGGTTACACAAAGGAATGTAGAAATCATCGGACAATCTCTTTGATATCCCATGCAAGTAAAGTTTTACTAAAGGTAATACAGAAACGGCTGCAAGCATACATTGACAGTGAACTTCCAGAGGCTCAAGCCGGATTCAGAAGAGGCCGTGGAACAAGGGATATCATTGCTGATGTCCGATGGATCTTGGCTGAATGCAGAGACTATCAGAAAGATGTCTACCTGTGCTTTATTGACTATGCAGAGGCTTTTGATTGTGTGGATCATGACAAGCCATGGACTACATTGTGAAGTATGAGTATTCCAGAACACTTAATTGTGCTCATAAGGGATCTGTGCCTGCACTAAGATGCAGTTGTTCAAATAGAACATGGAAACACTGAATGGTTTAAAATTACAAAAGGTGTATGGCAAGGTTGTATTCTTTCACCATACTTATTCAACCTGTATGTTGAGCAAATAATCCGAGAAACTGGGTTATATGAAGAAAAACGTGGCATCAGGATTGGAGCAAGACTCATTAACAACCTGCAATATGCAGATGATACAACCTTGCTTGCAGAAAGTGAAAAAGACATAAAACATTTACTGATAAATATCAAAGAGCACAGTCTTCTGTATGGATTTCATCTTAATGTCAAGAAAACAAAAATCCTCACCACTGGACCAATAAACAACATTCTTATCAACAGAGAAAAGACTGAAGTTGTCAAGGACTTCATTCTTCTTGGATCAACTATCAACACCTCACAGAAGCAGCAGTCAAGAGATTAGATGATGTATTGCATTAGGCAAATCATCTGCATAACACCTTTTTAAAGTGTTGAAGAGCAAAGATGTCAGCTTGAGGACTAAGGTGCACCTGACCCAAGCTATGGTATTTTCAATAACCTCATATGCATGTGAAAGCTGGACAGTGAATAAGGAAGACCATAGAAGAATTGATGCTTTTGAGTTACAGTTTTTGAGGAGAATACTGAAAGTGCCATGGGCTGCCAAAAGAACCAAATAGATCCATTTTGGAAGAAGTGCAGCCAGAGTGCTCCTTGGAGGCCAAGATGGTCAAACTTCATCTCTCATACTGTGAACATATTGTCAGGAGGGACCAGTCACTGGAGAAGGAGATCATGTTTGGTATGGTGGAGGGTCAGAGAAAAAGTGGAAGACCCTCAACGATGATAGATTGGGCAAGTGGCAGCATCGATGGACTCGAGCGTGGCAACAGTAGTGAGGTTGGCCCAGGATCAGGCAGTGTTTCATTCTGCTGTGCATAAGGTCTCTATGGGTCGGTACCGACTCCATGGCACCTAACAACAACAACGTCCTGGTGTGACACGGTATGATGAGCAGTGGACCTCAAAGTCAGTGGTTCAAACTCACCAGCTGCTCCTTGTAAAACACGGTTGATATGAATCGGAACACACTCGGCAGCACTTAACAACACAACAACAACAACATTCTTTTTTCTCAGAGAAAACAACTCAGCTTTTCTTACGTGACTCAGTTCAAGTCCCCATTACCTGTAAGGAGTTTTCAAGCTAAAGAAAAATTATGTAATGAATGAGGATACTATATTTAGATTTAACATAGAGAAAATATAACCTTGATGTGAAATCTCAAAACAATATTTTGAATAGGCCTTCACAATTTAATCTTCACATACCATATAATCTGTATATTTCTTCAGGAAAGCAGAAGCATTTTACAAAAACAGCATGTGAGATTAAAAGGGTTCATTTAGGCATGCACTGGGTAAAATTGGTTATTCTAGGCTTTTGCTTGCTAATCTCAGTACATAGTTTCAGTCACTGTGGTGTATAATATACTTTTTCACAGGAATGCCACACCTACAATATTAGGGAATTAAGAATGAATGAAATCAGGGGGTTCATTAGATGCAAGGAGCATCAAAAGAAGGTGGAAGGAATACACAGAGTCACTGTACCAAAAATAAAACCACACAAGTAAAATTTTGCTGAAGATAATATTTAAATGGTTGCAACAGCACAACACATGAAGACATCCGTGACCTTGCCAAAAATTCAAGAGGGATTCAAAGGAGGAGGAACAAGTGATGTCACTGATGATGTTAGATGAATCTTGGTTGAAAGCAAAGAATACCAGAAAGATGTTTACCTGTGTTTTATTGACAATGCAAAGGCATTCAGCTGTATAGATCATAACAAATTATGAAAAATATTGCAAAGAATGTGAATTCCTTAATTGTGCGCTTGCAGAGCCTGTACAAAGATCAAGAGAGAGTTGTTTGAACACAACGAGGGGATACTGTGTGGTTTAATATCAGGAAAGGTGTGCATCCTTTCTCCTTTGTATTTATCCAATCTGCATGTTGAGCAAATAATCCAAAAGGCTGGAGTATATGAAGAAGAACACAATATCAGGATTGGACGAAGAATCATTAACAATCTGCTACACGCAAATTATATTGCTTGCTGAAATCAAAGAGGACTTGAAGCACTTACTGATGAAGATTAGAGACAATCACCTTCAGTATGGATTCCACCTCAACTTAAAAAAAAATATTCTTCACAACTGGACCATCAAGCAACATCATGATATATAGAGAAAACAGATCGAAGATGTAAGAATTTCATTTGACTTGGATCCAGTGCTGATGGAAGTAGCTGTGAAGAAACCAAATGATG